TGTGTGTGTGTGTGTGTGTGTGTGTGTGTGTGTGTGTGTGTGTGTGTGTGTGTGTGTGTGTGTTAGAATGGTTCAGGATAGGCAGCAGGGGTTAACTGATTTCTAAAAAGCCTGGATCTCAGACATAGAGAGTTTCACAGAGCATTCGAAGCAGACAGGCTGTGTAATACAACAAGGCCAACACAGACACAGCCTGGGAAAGAGAGGGGCATGTACTATACTGTTGCATAACATAAGATAAGGTGGCACCCGCAAACAAGGCCCCAGAGCAGGGGGGCGTGATTGCCAGTTTTGGGGGAATAGACCAACTTAGGAGAAGACCCAGAAAGACAAAATTAGTATGTGTGCATGTGATGAGCTACGTGGACATATGACAACCACACAGAGACCACCCAGTGACAGGCATGGATCAAAAGTCATCAGGAGTCATCAGATGGGAAGGAGAATACAAAAGCAGAGACTTAAGAGTAACAAAGTGTACTTCCCTCTCCATCCCTCCCTGTCTTGCCTGGGTCCTCCTCCTCCAGATGTACTTTGACTCTGATGACAGCCCTAGGATTTGGTAGATATATAGAACTGCTTTATTATTTGTATTGCTTGTTTTCTGTTATCACTGTGTATCAATAAATTTGCCTGTTTTCAAATGGAAAGGTCGTGGCCAACAATGTCCCCTTAAACAAGGCATCTGGGTCCTAAATTCAGAGCCAACAAAAACTACCTCCATTGTTTTATCATTCTACTCCATGTCTTCTGCAAGTTTGAAAGAATAACAAAGAAAGGTTACTACCTTCTCCAGGGTACAGATCAGATGATTATATATATGAGCACTCATGTTTATAACCATGGTTCACTTTAGTGGCAAAAAGTAAAATACAAGAGGGAAGCCTCCCAGAATATCTGAGATTATTTCTTATAAAATTTGGAAAATACAAGGCGGTTGAAAGACATGTTAAGACAAACAGTTTTCACTGCTCAAATGTATTAACAATTTAAAAGTAAAATAAAAGAATATCTCAAATTAATCTGAGCAGAGTTAATCTCTTTCAAAGATTAACTGAATCCATTTATAAGGAACAGGTTTTGTGAAAGAATATGCATTTTTATCATTTATAACAGCTGCTTCATTTGAGAATAGCAGGTTGGTTAGAATTGTACCCAATTTCTGAGAAGATGTTAAGAATGATCTCAGGAATTATAGTTTTGTAAATGTTACTTCAGCACCAAGAAAAAATAGTTGAAAAAATTATGAACGATAGATTTAAAGGACACTTGCGAGTACAACATAGAAAAGCACCCTTGGTTATCTATTAAAATGCCTCAAAGTGTCAATAAAAATACAACAGAAACACAGGTTACCATAATTTCTTTCATCTTTCCAAAGTCTTTTCTTAAGGAACAATTAGTATCTGTGTAATGATAGATGAACTTTTTGATGGGTTGGAATCTAGCAGTAAAAGCATATGTTTAAGTAGTCAACTGATAACAAAGAAAGAAACTGAAGGGCAGCTCTGCGTGGATGAGGGACAAAAGGACCCTTTCCATCCAAATCCATGCTGGTAGTAGTGGTGAGCACTATTTCAGTTTTACAGGCCTCATGCCTGATCAGTAGTAATCAAAATTGCTGGAGACAGGGAAGAATTGGACACATACCAACTTCTCTTGTAAAGAGGGCTCTTTGCTATAGAAGACAAAGTTACACTATATCAAAGGGTATTGTTTTTTCCTCTGATACAAGGAAATGCCCTTCCAAAGCACATAAAAGACATATGTTTCAGTCCTGAGGCGCAGTTACTCTGGTGGCCGTACCACTAAAGTAGTAAGCTTCCATCTACCTCATTGAGGTCAGTATCTTTACAGCCACAATTTACATTCATTAGTAAGGTGACTGAGGATGTTTAGTAATAATAACCTTTAAAAGAAGAGAATAATGAAGTGTCAAATGCTTCTGGTAAGATTAATGGATTACTATTCCTGGCAAAAGAAAATTATTACAAAATTTAGTTGGGCTATGTGTGTGTGTGTGTGTGTGTGTGTGTGTATTATATATATACATAAAATACACACACACACTGAACTAAGTTAACCCTGCAAACAGTTTGTACACATTGATGAACTCAGAAGCTCTTTTCAATCAAATTAAAAAAAAAGATAAAGAATCTCAGGCAGGTAGCCCTAAATATTTTAGAGGGGGCTGTTAAGAAAAGTACAGAAATAAAACAGAAAATATTATAAAGAAATTCTAATTCAATTACATGCCCTCACCTTAAATACTGCATTTGAGGTTGGTCACAGTATCTGAGGAAAGTGTTACTAAAAATAGAAAAGGTCAAAAGCAACCTTATCAAGTAATTAGAGATCGAAGAGCTTCATACAAAGTCCAGAACAACTCCTTTCCAATAAAACAATGTAAAGGTAAAGGAGCTCAACAAGAAGCAAAATTCAAAAAAAAATAAAGGTCAACAAAAGGTGCCCCTGAAGTTGGTGGCTGCTGATCCAGAATTCTACATCACTACCCCTTTGAAATCTACTCCCTCCTCTGGTACAGCATATTAAAAGCAGTAAAACACAATTTGTTATTAAGTGTCAAGGAAGAAAGAAAATTAGATGTCTTATTTTTCAACTTGAGTAAGCCTTAACAACTCTTCCTTACTATCTTTTTGTCTGTTTCTGCAATGGCAGAAGTATCTCTATTATGTTGCAGAATGAACATCTTATTGCAGTGAATGAACAGTTCCTACCTCTCAGGTTTATAGAATCATTCAGACCTAAGAAAACAATATTGTAGCAGTTTATTTTAATTTAACAATTGAAGGGGTGATTCCTCCGCTACACAGTATATGGATTAGAAACTCATTTATTTTTCTTTGTTATGAAAATACATTGTGAAGCATAAGTATGCTGCAAATTCAAAAAGAATGATAATTAGGCAACAAGTTATGCCACTGCATAATCTTATACCATAGATAGGGCCTTGACAATAATAGAATAGAATTAAAATTATGAGTCAACAAAATTAAAATGCATAAAGTGGAATATATTTTGACATAGAGTTTAATTAGATCAAGAAATTACTGAAGACAAAAGCAAAAGCTTAGAAAAATTCAAACATAGATCAGAGAGAGGACAGAAATCACAATAGCAATGTTAAAAATGCAGTATAACTATTAATATTCCTGCTTCAGACCATAAGGTGATACCACTCAGGATGAAGAAGAGTCCTCCCATGGTCTAGAATTTCACATTTAAGGTATTAATATGGATCTGAGACTTTAAGTATCTGTGAGATGCTGAGATTTCTTCACTTTCACTGAATGAAGTAGAAGTGGAGGGTGTTGAGCCATTCACAAGATTTATCACTAAACAGTAACTAGTGGAGAAAAGAAGCTGAAGCATCTGGAACTGCATTCTGGATTAGAAAGAAATTGAAATAAAAGCTCTGCTTCGTCCTACCCAGTGCTTGGTTTATTTTTTAAAAGATCAGGGTTTCTATTTGTTTTCAGAAAAAGCATCATGGTTAAAAGTTCCAGAGAAATAAGACAAGTAAAATACTGTATTTGTTTTGTTTTTTAACTAATTGAACACAGTAAACATAACAATGAATGACATCCACTTTACTGCATATGGCATCACAAAAGAGATTTTGAATTATCATCTCATTCCTTGGAACAGGCCCTCTGGGCTTCTAATGGACTAACATTAAATGATTTTTAAAACTTTATCTTGTAGAAAATAAAATTACTTTTTATCTTTAACTATTAACTTAGAAAGCACTTTCAAAGAAATTATTTAAATTCCAGTGCTCTGCATAACAGGATTGTAGCAACATATGTTGCAAGTGCTTAAATTCCTCTATTGAAACTCAGCGTATATCATTAAAGAAACATACCCAAATGCTTTCTTCTTGACAGTACTGCTTCCAGTTCCTTCCACTATCACTGAACATCAGGAGGTAGCTTGTTACCCAATCTGAACTCCCATATCCACCTTGAGTAGCAACAGCAGTGATCTCAGTTCTCTCCCCAAGATCAATCTGGAGCCATTGATATTTGTTGGACACAAGAGGAGACCAACCACCAGCTCCTTTAAGAGGAAGAAAGAAAAAAGAAATGTAGAAATTATGAATTCATAGTAGATAACATTAAAAATAAAAGCTGTGTTGATAGTTAAATGAATTCTCTCGACAGATGTGGCACAATTAAAATATTTATTACTAACAGAGTTCAATGATAATAATCCCTCAGAACTGTTTGGATGGATGCAGTTAAACAAAACTTACTTAAGTATTGTGATTTTCACAGAATCGTAGAAAATGAAGATTGGAAGGGACTTTAGTACCACCCCCCACCTAAAGCAAGACCATCCCCAGCTAGATCATCCCAGGCAAGGCTTTGTCTAGCTGGTTCTTAACAACCTCCAAGGACAGAGAAACCACCACCTCTCTAGGTGACCTGTTCCAGTGGTTTACTACCCTCCTCATGAGAAAGTCTTTCCTACTATCTAATCTAAACTTCCCTTGGTGCAACTTGACAACATTGCTCCTTGTTCTGTCATCTGCTACCACCAGGAACAGTCTATCTCCATCCTCTTTGCAATCAAACTTCAGGTAGTTGAAGATTGCTATCAATTCTCAATCTTCTCCTCTGCAGATTAAATAAACCCAGTTCCCTCAGTCTTTCCTTATAAGTAACATGCCCCTAACTAATTTTGTTGCCCTCTGCTGTATTATCTCCAATCTGTCTACATCTCTTCTATAGTGGGGGGGCCCAAAACTGGACACAGTACTCCAGACGTGGCCTCAGCAGTGCTGAATAGAGGGGAATAATTACTTCCCTTGAACTTCTAGCAATGCTTCAGCCCAGTATGCAGTTAGCCTACTTGGCAACAAGGGCATTCTGTTGCCTCATATTCAACTTATTGTCCACTTTAACCCCTGTGATAGAGGCAAGCTTTCATGTGTGGTGCAAGCACCGGCCTGCCCCCTGTCTACAGGTCAGCCACCTGCCTCTCTCAGCTGCCATGGCTTGATGTAATAATATTGATGTAATAATTAGGGAGCAGGCTGCCCATTATACACCCCAGTATTAAGGGGCTATCCATGGATCTGTTTCACCCCTACACTATGGCCCAAGCCTTGCAAATGCCATTTTAGGCACCCAATTTAACCATCCCCTTCGCCCATTAGCTGTGGCCCCTTCCCTGGGATCTTCGGCTTCCCTTTAAGCCTTGGCCCTGTCTCAGGCCAATCGGGACCCCAAGCTTTTCTGCTCTCTATGGGCATCCCTCGCAGTGGGCCCCTGGCCCTTTTGACCCCTATCTGGGTCCTGGCCCCAGCATTGACGAGTTAGGTCCCTCAGGTTAGGTCTAAGCCTCCTGCCTCCACTCTGGGACTGGGTCCCCCATTCCCAGCTCAGCTGCTTCACAAAGCATGCCTGGCCCTGCGGGGTCATTCACCCCAGCAGGCTCAGTTGCTTCAAGCAGCTTACCTGGCCTTCCCTGGATTGGATGAATCTTATGACCCACTCGAGGGTGAGGGGTGGGATTAAGGCACCTCTACCCACCTTTCACCGGGGTAGTAACTGGCCTGGCATTTTCCTGGGGTTCCTGCACCACTGGGAGCCCCACCAAACCACTCACTCCCAGCAGGGTGCAGTTTTAAGTCATGCCCAGGACCAGGGCCTCCTGCTCCTACCTGCAAGATGTTCCCATGCAGCAGTTCAGTCAGGTAATGTTTCTTGCCTCCCTCCCAGCAGCAAACTTTTCTTGTTTATATAGGTGGCCAAAATTCTAAAATGGCTGCCATAATCAAACGCCTGCTGACTGCTTGATCTAGCTCTTAAAGTAGCAGGTACCACTGGTGCCCTACCACAACCCCAAAATCCACTGCCTTAGCCAGTCAGTCCCCAGGTTGTAGCGATACGTGGGATTCTTCTGTCCTAAGTACAAGACTTTACACTTGTCCTTATTGAACCTCATGAGATTGTTTTTACTCCAATCCTCCAATTTCTCTAGGTGTCTCTGAATCCTAGCCCTACCCTCCAGTGTATCTTCTACTCCTCCATCTAAAAATTTCCTGAGGGTGCACTCCATCCCATCTTCCAGATCATTGATAAAGATATTAAACAAAACCCGCCCCTGGAACAACCCCTGGGGCACTCCACTTGATACTGGCTGCCAACTAGACATTAAGCCATTGATTACTACCCTCTGAGCCTGACTATCTAGCCAGTTTTCTATCCACCTTACAGTCCAGTCATCCATACTACCTTAGCTTGCTTGCAAGAATGTTATGGGAGATCATATTAAAAGCCTTGATGAAGTCAAGATATATTGTGTCCACTGCTCTTCCTGCATGCACACAGATAGTCATCTCATGACAGAAGGCGATCAGGTTGATCAGGCATAACTTGCCCTTGGTGAATCAATGATGACTCTTCGTAATCACCTTCTTCTCCTCTAAGTGCTTAGAGATGGATTTCTTGAGGATCTGCTCCATGATTTTTCCAGGTACTGAGGTGAAGCTGACTGGTCTGTACTGCCCTGGATCCTTCTCTTCCCTTTCTTAAAGATGGGCAGTATATTTGCCCTTTTCAAACCACCCAAGACCTCCCTGATTACCATGAGTTTTCAAAGATAATGGCCAGCAGCTCTGCAATCACATTAAACTCCCTCAGAATCCCTGGTTGCATCCCATACAACCCCATGGACTTGTACATGTCCCGCTTTGCTAAATAATCCCTAACCTGTTCTTTTGCCACAGTTGACTGCCCACCTCCTTCCCAGACTATGCCTCCAGGCGCAGTAGTCTGGGAGCTGACCTTGCCTGTGAAGACTGAGGTAAAAAAGACATTGAGCACTTTAGTCTTTTCCTCCTCATCTGTCACTATGTTGCCTCCCCTATTCAGTAAGGAATCCACACTTTCCTTGATCTTCAAAGATATACTTTGAGAAACCCTTCTTGTCACCCTTCATATCACTCCAATTGTGATTTGGCCTTCCTGATTTTATCCATGCATGCCCAAGTAATATTGTCATATTCCTCCCTATTTATCTGCCAAATTTCCACTTTTTGTAAGCTTTCTTTTTTGTTTTAGCTCACTGAAAAGTTCCCTGCTAAGCCAAGCTGGTTTTCTGACATACTTGCTAGTCTTTCTGTGTATTTGGATTGTTTTTTTTAAAGTACAGACAACTCTCTTGGATTCCATTTCCCCTCAGACTGGCCTCCCAGGAGAATCTGCCCATCAGTTCCCTGAGTGTGTCAAAGTTTGTTTTTCTGAAGTCCAGGGTCCTTACTTTTCTGCTGTCCTCCTTTCCTTTTCCTCAGGATCATGAACTCAATCATCTCATGGTCACTACTGCCCAAGTTGCCAGCCACTTCCACACTCCCCATTAATTCTTCCTTGTTTCTGAGCAGTAGATCAAGAAGAGCACAGCTGGTAGTTGGCCTCTCCAACACTTGCACCAGGAAGTTGTCACCAACACTGTCCAAAAACTTCCTGGATTGTCTATGAACTGCTGTATTGCCCTCCCAGAAGATGTTAGGGTGATTGAAGTCTGCCATGGGAACCAAGCCCTGTGATTGGGACACTTCCACTAGCTGTTTGAAGTAAGCCACATCCACCTCATCCTCCTGCTCTGGTGGTCCATAGCAGATACCCACCATGAAATAACATTTGTTGCTCTGCCCTCCAACTCTAACCCACAGACTTTTAACAGACCTGTCTCCAGTTTAATACTGGATCTCTAAGCAATCATACAGTTCTTTTACATAAATGCAACTCCCCCTCTTCTTCTTCCCTACTTGTCTCTGTTATTCCAATCATATCGTAGTTCTATGACCATGTGAAGACTTCCAATTCTTGCCGCTTGTGTCCCAGGCTCAATGCATTTGTGTATAGATCCTTGAGGTAACTAGCCACTTATCTTATTTTGCTTCACTCTTTTTTAATCTGTCAACTTATAACACATTTGTGCTATTTTTTCAGTAGATGTATATCCATTAATATTCTTAACTTAGAAAATGACTTTAAAGCAATGGTCTTCAACCTAAATGAATCATGCTTCATGTGGTCACATAAAGCACATATTGATAAGCCAAGTAGTAAAACAAATAGGTTCTGGGATGGAGAGGTTACATGACTTTATTAAAGCCATCAACAAAGTCAGGGGCAGAGACAGGAATACAACAAGAAGCTCTGATCCTGCAAACATGTGATTTTGGAGAGTAAAATTAAGTTTTATTAAAGTTGTTATAGGACGGGGGACTAAATCCTGTATGCTATCAACCTATAACTATGGCTTGGATGATATATAAACAACAATAATCTAATTTTGGTCTCAATCACTTTGTTCAATATTTTAATAGAATATTTGATTTAATCAAGGAGTTATTTATAAATGTATCCACTGAGTCCAATTAACACTCTTTCATCTTTATGTATCAAAATCCTACATCATTTTAAAGGACCCCAATAACAGAATGTATAGAAATGAAAAACTGGATCCAAGCATTTCTTTGCTATCACCTTCCTCACTGGCCACAAGGCCAACCGCACCTTGTCATGCATCCACAGATGCATCTCAAGCAGGTCCAGGGAAGTGATAGTCCCCTTCTATGCAGCACTGGTCAGGCCAAAGCTGGAGTACTGCGTCCAGTTCTGGGCACCGCACTTCAAGAGGGATGTGGACAACATGGAGAGGGTCCAGAAGAGGGCCACTCGCATGATCAGGAGGCAGCAGGGCAGGCCCTACAAGGACAGGCTAAGGGACTTGAACCTGTTCAGCCTCCACAAGAGAAGGCTGAGGGGGGATCTAGTGGCCTGTTACAAATTAGTCAGAGGGAACCAGCAGGCATTAGGGGAGTCCCTGTTCCCCCAAGCACTACTAGGAGTGACTAGGAATAATGGTCACAAGCTGGCAGAGGGTAGATTCAGACTAGACATCAGGAGGTGCTACTTCACTGTCAGGGTGGCTAGGATCTGGAACCAACTTCCAAGCAAAGTGGTTCTGGCTCCCACCCTGGGGGTCTTTAAGAGGAGACTAGATGAACACCTTGCTGGGGTCATTTGATCCCACTACGTTTT